GTGGGTGGACCTGTGGTTGTGGTTTCAGCAACCGCTGTTGGTGGGGAAGTTTTTGGTCGGCGGAGCTGCTCTGTTGGTGGTGTGGCTAATCGTTCGGTGGACATGTTTCTTGCGCCGTTGGGGCCTGAGCTACTGGTTGGCATGGGCGCGGACCGTGCGTAGGTCTTGCCGTGGGGGCAAGTGGGTTGGGTGGAACAAAGCTGGTGCTTGCTGGGGATGCATGTGTGGCGTTGCGTGCGGGCGCGTGTCGGTTCGCTGGCGCGGCGGATCGCCGCCGTGTGGTTGAGGTCAGGGAGTGTGGTTGCTTAAGGTGCGGACTGTGGGTTGTTCCGAGGGCAGTGTGTCGGGCCGCAGTGTTGAGGGCGCGGAGCCTCGTCTCGGTGTGGGTGGAGTAGTGGCTTGCGTCGCGCGACAGTCCGCTGGTTGGTGGCGAGCTGTCGCCTGGTGAGGCGCTGTACCCGCCCTGTCGCTCCCGGCGGACTGTCGGCGCTCTTGGCTCGCGGGGGGGCGCACTGTCGGCTTGGCTCGGGATGCGTGGTTGGGTGGAGTTGGTCTGTCCCACGAGTGTGGTCTGAGGGGGGTGTGTTGGAGGGGGAGCCCGTGCGTTGGGGGAGGAGTGTCCCGTTCCTGGGGGAGTGCTGGTTGCAGCGCGAGGGAGTGCGGTGTTGTCCAGGAGTGCCTGGTTGCCAGCAGTGGGAGTGTGGTTTGACGGGCGGGAGTGTGGCTTGGTCGGCCGGTAGTGTGTTGTGGGGGGTGTGGGTTGGGGCGAGGAGGTGTGTTGGCTCAGGGGGGAGCTGTCGTTGGTCCAGCGGAGTCGTGGTTGGGTGTGGGCGAGTGTGGTTGGTCAGGGGGAGTGTGGTCTGGTCCCAGGAAATGTAGTCTGGTCCACTGAGTTCCGTGTTTTGGTGGTGGACGTCGTCGCCTTGTGGGAGCTTGGTTGTGCTCGCCGGGGGACGTGTGGGTTTGGTCTAAAGGTCGTGTTGGTCCAGGTCTGGTTTCGGCTGACAATGGTGTCTCGGTGGGGTGGACCTCGTGCTTGTGGGGACCTGCGCTGTTTCGATTATGGTGGGCCTTGGTGCTGGGTTAGGGGGAGTTGGTTTCCACGGAGTGTGTTGGTCCCACAGTGTGGTTGAGGCGTTGGCTTTTGGTTTTGGGCATGCTAGTTGGTTCAAGGGACGGTTGGTTTGGTGGGGACGTGTGGCTGGTGAGGGCGGGCAGGTGTCCTGTGGCGGGAAGTCGGTTTGGTGCGCCCCGCGTGGAGTGTGGTTGGTGGGGCGAGCGTGGTTTGGTAGGCGGAGTGTGTTGGTAGCGGGATCGTGGCTGAGGCGGGAGTTGCGTTGGTGTTGGGGAGTGTAGTTGGTCGGCGGAGTGTGGTTGTGGGGGAGTTCGGTTGGTGGGGGGTGTGCGTTGGTGGCCCCGCGGAGTGTGCGCTCTGGTGGGCGCCGCGACAGTGCGTGGTTGGTGGGGGTGTGTGGTTGGGTGGGGGAGTGTTGGCGGTGGTCGGGGGGGAAAGCTGCCTGGTATTGGTCCCACGGCAACTGTTTGCTCCACGTGCGTCGTTGTACGCTGTGGTTTCGGTTTGGGTGACGCCTGTGCGTTTCGGGTCGGGAGTGCCTGGTCTGGATCGGCCGGGGAGTGTCTTCGGTGGACGGGGCGCTGTGACTTGGTCGGGGGGCGTCGTGCCTGTCGCGCGGACGCGGTTTCGCTCGCTCTGCTCCGCGCCGCTCTCGTTCGCCGTCGCCCGGTCGGATTCTTGCGTGGCGCCGGGTGGGGAGCTGGCTTGGTTCCGCGAGCTCGTCTCGGTCACCGTCGCGCTCTCCCTCGCCGGTCGCTTCGCGCGACGCGCTGCTGGTTGGCTGGGAGTGCTGGCGCTTGGTCTCAGCGCTGCTAGCTCGGCTCCGGGATTTTGGCTTGCGGCCGGCGACGTGTCGGCATGTCTCGGCCGGGATTGTGATTCGCGCTCAGCAGGGAGGTGTGGTTATGCGCGTCGGGAGAGCTGTGGATTGGTGGGGACGGTGTCGCTTGCTGGGGGGTGTGGGTTAAACGGGGGAGTGTGGTTGGGGCTGGGGGAGCCTGTGGCTTGGTGGGGGCCCCGAGCTAGTTGGGCTGGGGGCCAGTGTGCAGTTGCTGTGTGCCCATCCGGCAACGGCCCCCACCAACCACACTCCTCTCCCAACCACACTCCCCCCACCAACTACACTCCTCCACCAACCACACTCCCCCTCAACCACACTCTCCCCACCAACCACACTCCTCTCCCAACCACACTCCCCCCACCAACCATACTCCCCCCACCAACTACACTGCACCCACCAATCACACTGTCCCCACCGAGTAGATTCCATTTCCCTCTGTGGGCTAAACAGGTTCTTCCTCAGGCTCACATATGACTGCTGTACAGCTGAATATTCCAGCTATGGTTTACCTGGAGCCTTGCCAATTCTCGTGGTGTGCCTTTTGGTTCTTGCTGGCGTGGGGATGAGGCAGAGGGGCAGGAGCACTGCACTAACTAGTGGCTTTCGCTCCGTTCCTTCTCACTCCTGGGTCTCCACATGCTGTTCACTCTTGCAAGTTCATCACTCTCCTCCTCTTTACCTGGATGCCTCGTGCCCGTGCCTCCCAACCTCCACTGAGACAATGTCACCTCCAGGAAGTGCCCCTGACGATCCTCTCCTCCCACAATACCCTATACTGACCCTTTCATGACACCAATTACATTTTCGTGACTGATTCT